CCTGGGCGGGTGAAGTCATTTGATAATTTTCCCATCACAAAAAAAGTGGTGAACACTCCAACCCCCTGAAGGGGACGTACATACAACTTCTCTGAATGTAAAGATATGGGCAGTGACTATTGCTAACCAGGTACCTAATCCGCCCCTCGTGCGGCGGCGTGACCCGTAAAAGATAAAAAAGTAATTTCTATCTTCAGCAACCAGACCACAATGCTTTGTTAAACCTAAGTTTTTTTCTATTAATAAAAGCCACGTGGAATTTACTTTGGTTTCACAAATAACAAGTAGATTGCTCAAGTTTTTACACAAACTACCGGCCGCAGAATTATCTGGAAGTTTTTTGGTACGTTAAATTTTAATAGAGCCATCAGATCATAGATGCCGATGCCTACTAGGGCCGATACGTAGTCTGGCTCGTGGAGTCGGGGTTGCGTTTGCAAGCCCTACAGTGAGCCCTGTATGCGGTAGGCGGGACCAGGAGAAGGAAAGGGGGAGGAGAAAGCAAAATATGATGATTTTGCCCACTCAAAAAAAAAAAAAAATCGGTTCCCTATAAATTTTGGATGACTATAATACTATACTGAGTTTGAATAGAATATTGAGTTTTTAGCAAAATATTGCTGTTTAAGCTGATTTCTTTTGTCTGGGTTACAGTGGTCATTAAGATGCTTTCAGTGAATCTTAAAAGCATTGACTTCTTTTGCTTTAGTTATTTTTCTTTCATGTTAAACGAATTTCTTAGGCAAACTTTATGTAAACTCGAAGTACAAAGGTGTGATTTTCTGACAGGTTCCACGCTTCAATGGACCCAATTAGTTGTGACTGCCGTATTATCTCTCAACCTCTCAAAGCGGCCTCGATAAAGCTTCTTAATTTGCCTACATAAAACTCCCCAAAAGTTAAGGGAACACCGGTGGAGCCTAACGAAATACTTTTCAACGTATTTAATTATACTCAACGACAAAATTACTCGTTTTTCGAAGTATAAAAAGACATGTTTTCACTCTCTTTCAGCTTCGAGTAATTCAATTTCGAAATATCTCGTAAACTTAGCATTTAGCTAGGGAAAAATTATAAAGAGCCGCCCCTGAAATGGTGGGTGCCGAGGCAGACGGGAGTGCCCTTATTTGTAATTCAGATGCGGCAGTTGAAAGCGCGGTATCGCATGCCTATCGTCGACTTTTACTCGGGGAGGCTCATCTGCGTGCCGCCACAATACCGCGCATTCGACTAATAACGTTCTCAACCTCCCGAATAGAAAACTAAACTCGCTGATGAGTTTCGTTTCTGTATTTACTCTTTCGTTGTACAAATATAAAGGATCCGGGCTCTTTGTTTATGATTTCGACGGAAAAGTTTTAGGTTTGTTGCGCACCTTTGAGCTGATGTGGCAGGTAACTCTAACTCTGTAAAACCGGTGAACTTCATTACGATTCGCAGAACACAACATTTAATTATTTTGATTAATATGTTTAATCTTCAAGTGTATTTTCACTTGTTTAAAGCAGACAGAGTAAATCAGTTTTCATGGAAAGTATATATTTTCGTTGACTGTGTTTATGTTAGAGTTTCTATGTTGGCTGGTATACATTTAGGTATGAAAGTCAAATGAAGCGTAAGAGAAAGTTTCGTGAATAAAGTTCTCCACATAAAATACCTGTTTGGTGAAACATGTGAGTGCTTTATATGTACACTCTGTTCCACTCCAGACAGCAATTGCTTCTTTGTTCCACTTTATAGAGTTCCCATTCAAATCATCCGACATACTCATATTTTCTTTGAGCGCAACCAGGTTCGGCGCGAAAGCGGTTCGCTTTGTCGAATAATATAAAGAGCTAAGTGATTACGATACGTTTACAAAGCTTTTCGTTTCTATAGCGGTGATAATGACATAAAAACGGAATGTTATAATAAAATATCTATTCCGTTTTAATATCATTATAATTGGATTATGTCGGTCCATTAAGTGAATGAAATGAAAATTGAATTGCAAAATAACGAGGTTCGCGATTGGTATACTAACACAGCTATATACGTAGATAAGGGAGTTGATTCCGTTTGGTAATACGATTAGATTACACGATTTTGGATTGGAAAATTGAAGCCACAATATTAATTTGCCCTTGCAGCATTCATATATTAGTAATGTATGACAGAAGTATCGATTCCACTATATTTGGATAGGAAGCTTGTTTATTTTGTTTCAACTGTTTTATGTATGTTTTCATCACTGATTTGGCCTCGGGCGAACACGCTAGTTTTAGTTGTTGGATTATATTTTATTCAAATTTGATTTGGTGTCCGATTTTTAATTAAACAATTCCTAGCATTTGGTTTTTCATTTATATGTACGTATAGCTGGTGTGTATTTAAATACATAACTTAAAGAATGTTAATGTTATAATATAAATAATTTAAGTGGATACCTCTATATATTAAGGCTTTTAGTTGATGCATGTTTCTTGCACCGTTTTTTTTCTTTTTGGATAAGATCGCCACGATCTCCCGACACCGCTGCAACTCCTCTAAGTCAGGATGTAAAGTTCACCCATGAAAACACCATGCGAATACCTACTGAAGTATCGTCATCCCGAAGAGAAATAAATCAGAAGATATTATTTAAGGAGAAGAATTAACATATAAGAAGAAATAGTTTTCACTTCTAAGTTTTTTGTCATGCATGGTCTAAACAACACGTATGGTATCATCTAAACGTACCTTAAATGTATTAATACCCATTATTGTTCTGGTGTTTAAGAAAATAGTATTGTGCCTTTAATGCCTTTAAACACACTTCAGCAAATAATACAAAATTTATTAAAATAACGACTTACGTGCATTAACTGAAAAAACTCTACTAGAATCGAGTCACAATGGGGCTCTTAATCGTGCTGTGTGCGCGTCGTGGCGACGTTGCGTCGCCGACTGACTCAGTCGGCATGTTGCATGTAACAAAACGTATTTTTGTCCCTTAGAGCCGGGTTCCTACAAGGCTGATGTTCAGCCGGGGTTGCAGGGTAAGCGCAATGAGGCACCGCGACCACGGCCTAGAGCAGGAGAAGGAACGGGAGGGTTTCCAGTAAGTAAGAGCCTGACCCTCCTGTTCCCTCCCGCCTGGGCAGGAGAAGCAATTTGATGATTTTCCCTTCCCAAAAAAATAGTTTTACCTCAAAGTGTAGAAAGAGATATTCATAACTAACATTGTATGTTATTGATTTCGTTAGTTTTAACCTTTTTACTGCCTTGGTCTGTTATAGAAAAACATAACAGGCCAAGGTGGCTAAGCCTATTTTTTAGTGGTCTGTAGTCGACCTTGGCTCAATAGGTAAACCACATCACCAGCCTATAAGTGCCCATTGCAAATTTAATCGCCACGATTACTCAAGGTAGATTGGCGATTTCAAACTTATAATTAGAAATTATAAGACGAGGTTTTCTCACGGTTTTTTCCTTCACCGTATGTCGTATGGTGTCTCAATCATCTTATCTCTCATACTTGTTTTTTTTTTTATGTAATAGGTTGGCAAACGAGCAAACGGATTACCTGCTGGTAAGCAATCAGCGCCGCCCATGGATACCCGCAACGGAGGAGTTACGAGTGCGTTGGCGACCTTTTAGGGATTTGGAGATTTAGGGATTGAGGAGGAATTGGGGGTGGGGAAGGATTGGGCCTCCGGTAACCTCACTCACACGGCGAAACACAACGCTGTGGTTGTTTCACGCCGGTCTTCTGTGAGGCCGTGGTATCACTCCGGTCGAGCCGACCCATTCGTGCCGAAGCATGGCTCTCCTACACTTTTGGTCAGGTTTTGAACCCTCATATTCAGAAGCGGACGCCATAACCTCCGGTCTACCTTACGAAAAGGTTAATAATAATTATGTATTCTATAAAAGTGGCCTTGTTCAAAAATGAGTTCGTGTCGAAATATTATTAGTATCCAAACGAGAACGGACACCTAGACGGGCTAGTTTCGTCGGGAAATCCAATAACACGAGCTGAAACTTTAGCCAGATGTAGGCCGGCTCGCCTCCAGTCATCATTTAATACGGCTCTTGGAACAAATTGCTTCGTTCTCTTTAACTTTAGAAATAACCCTCTCCGTTAATGAAAACGTGAGACTAATTTGTCGAAGTTTTTTTTCAACAAAATGTTTATTATTGTCATTTTCATTCTTTTCAGGAAATTCGAGGTTTTTACCTTTGTAGGTATCTGTACAGGTATATAATAAATATTGATTACTTTGCTTTAATTAGAGATATTAAAGAAAAAAAAAACATATTCTATCGCACTTACAAGCTAAATATACTTACATGCTATGGAGAAGTATAAAATTGTAAAGTAACCTCTCTCCGTTCAGTACACGTAAACAACATAGTTCCTTCTGTGTTTTTATTGATTATTTTATATAGGCAAGTGGTTCGTGACACATGACATGTGATAGATCGAATACTCCACAGCTAATACTAGACGCGGAGATACTCGTTCGCATCCCCAGCGGACTTGCTATCGATTTCATTTATAAAAAAAGTTACAAAAATAGCAAAACGTTCCAACATTTCGGAGAATCACTCCGTTTCCATTTTACTGGAAAGGACGCCTAGAGCGGAATTGTCTAAATGTTTATTTTAGCCCTGTCGACTACCGATAAGGGTTTCATATAAATAAAACGTATTTTTACATTCAGATCATTCGATGACTCTTTATTTACACAGTGATGATTCGGGTGAAACTTTTAATACAACCAAACGTACAGATCACAGGAAAGTAATGTACTAATTACGAAGCTTACCATAGACTTGACATTATGACTAACACTCTAGATAAACTTGTACGACCTCTCCCCGCCAGGGCAGACTGCCCGCGCACCGCGGACCTCCTGACTCCGGCGGGCTCACAATAATACATCGTAATCATTTCAAAATGTAATAAAATTTGGAATACCAACGATTTCCTAAATGTATTTAAAATTTAAGAAACATGTGAAACATTTATGTACAACGTTAGACAACAATTTCGTGACACCCGTAACAAAAAACATTTAATTCTATGCAGTCAAATCTTTCTAAGGCCGAATGCGTGATGTTAGTAACATTATTATATTATTATATAATAATTAACAAAGGTGTGTCTTATACAGAGATAAATAAACTATAAAATATGTATCAAACACATTGATAAATAACGCATTAATTAAAACGAGAGAACAAAGATAAAATCTAGTTAATTTCGAGAATCAATCACATGGTTACGCAAGAGCGCGGAGTTGTTGAGTGACACACTAACCCGAGGTACGGTGACAATAAATAAAGTAATATTTCTTTTATGTAACATCATTCCACAGTAATAGCGAACTTCAGACACAGCGATGCTATTTGGATGGATTTTTCTTTTAAAGTTGCGGAAATAAAACTGGACTGGTTTTTGAACACACGCCAAAAAGACATTTGGGAACAGCCATTCTACATGGGCACGGCTTTCATTGTAGACGCGGTACCTACGTACAAATGAAGACCAGTAATATCATTATTTATTCTCATAAGATTATATTTACCTGTATTCTTATTACCGGAGCAAGATTCTCGAAATGAAACAAACTAGACACTATGAGGATCTATTTCTAGAAATCTAAGACCATTCTCCGTTTATTCTACTTACAAATATAAATGATTTGGCAGTGCTGTTACTGTTACAACTGTTTCATTAATCTAATTGTTTCTAATGGTATGACAGACTTGTTTCTGAATTATTTCACTAGATTATTCTGTAAATGGTTATTTTACTTATAATCGAGTATTGATTTTTAGTTTTTCTTAATTGTGTAATAGTTGTCGTGTATTTGTAGCATTCGTCAAGTTACTTGCGGTGACAATGATTTGAACAATCTTATGACGCTTCGTGTATGTACGGGATGTTTCTAAAATGACTTTGGCATCAATTATCACTGGAATTGAGCCGGTTTATTAATATTAGGTACATTGATCAAATATCTTATTTATAATTTCAAAAACGTCTTCTATTCAGATTCCATCATAAGTTTTATTGTGATATGTTAAACATAATGCTACATTTTATTGGAATTGTAGATTGAAACATGTATTTATAAAATTTACAAGGTACATTCTAGAGGTATTAGATCCAGACGTATGTATAAAGAAGTATATTTAAATTGAAACATTAATGTTTTTAGTAATTCATTTTCTTTAATAGTTTATATTGTTTAACATCTATATCAAATTATAGAGAGACGGTACATCAAAGTCTTCGTATTGAGGATATTAACGTGTTTTTTTATAATTTCATTTTTAACATTACCTTTCATTTTATTATACACTGAGCAACGATCATTTACATTCAACTATTTTATAACAAGTTAATTCATGTCTATGTTGTGTCTCGAACCGTGCACATTATGTAGAACCCTACAAATAACTTAAAAAATGTACAGCTCACGGTACAGTTATGATAGTAATTGATTAGCTACAAGTTCCCGCTTAGAACGTTCCTTCGGCGCGACTTGCGTACTTAGTCCAGTTAATTAACAATATAAGAACACTTTTATTTCTTATCATTATAAAAAAAATTCACTACGGCGCCATGACACTTCTATTCAACATGAAATTCAGCTATTAATCTAATATTTCTATCGGAGATTGCCTTGCGATCAGATGTGTTCGTCCTGTACATCTGCCAAGAGAGAAAAAGATCATTTAGTTAGTTATGTATATCATTATCTTTCTTTTATATGCGGTATTTCATAACCGTAGCCTTAATTAAGCTAATCAAGACTAAAACTCTTTATAAACACACCACATCAATGCTAACAAAATATACAATAATAAAGGTACACTGCTACTAAGTATACAAAATACCACATATATATAATAAACACTTACATTACCATAATTGTGTCAAAATCTACACATTACCTAAAGGTATAATACATAAAGCTCAGAAAGAAAAGCAAAAAAAAAGAAACATTAAAGCGATGTTATAATAAATTCTCATTTCAGCAATAAGTTTGGAAATTCGGAACAACTTTGTGAGGTAAAGTTCTGATGGGGGAAGAAAAGATCGATAACTGCGAAATAGATTTGTCCATAAGATTTTCTATTATCTTACCAAAACAAAGTGACGTCGGAGACTCTAAATTATCCTTGTTATTATTCAATGATTGTATTTAAATACGTGTTCGAAGAATGACCGCATTTGTTTTAGATCGAACATAAATATAAGCGTAATTTACATAAAATTAAAAACAATCATATCAAACATTCATGCAAGGAAATCTCGTTAGTCAGCCGTTACCAACTCCTACCATCAGTTACCTACTATATACATATTAAATGCCTAATGTACACATTAAACTGAGGTACGGTAGTGTAAATCAATGGAGTGCTCAGTGTAAACCATTATGTGTTTGACAAGGGTGTTCGTCTCGGCCGGCGATAGAAGGGTATAAAATATTCGTGAGAGTATAAACCTTGTTTAAATTCGGTCAGTGCTCAATATCTACTAGAACTGGACGTTAATAAAGCACAAACAAGCACCAAGTATAGAGGGCCGGCGGTCCGGAGTGCAGTGTAAGTGTGGGTGACATGCAGCTCGGGGTGACAACAGGGGAACTACGGGCTTGGACAACATCTTCAAACTACTTACGTAACTACAAGGAGCTGGGGCACACGTGGAGCGCAACATACCTACGATACAACGCCTCACTTACTCGTCCTTAAATGGTCTTTTTCTCCCCATTACAGACTATCGTGTATCCTAACGAGCTCTTCTCAACCATACCACCGAACAGTGTCGTATCAAAACATTAATTAAACTCAACCAGTGCATCATAACGAGATTTGACTGCATGAATTCCAGTTACGTTCCGCAATAAAATTGTAACATGAGAACAAAATATAAAATGGACATTAATATTATTTCTTATTCTCTATTAAAACAACAATAAATTTTACATAAATAAATGTAATCTGTCAACGTTCACATGAGGCTAAAGCTATCTAGATATTTGTGCCAATAAAATAGAAACGTGTCAATTTGAAGAAATTCGTGTAAATTCATGTTTTTTTTTTGTTAATATTTAAAAATGCGTAAAGAACAATCGTTGTAGCGTTACTTAATGCTAAGGGTTCTCGTCTGTAGAGACAAATTAATACTAGTAACTATTAGCCTAATGGATTTTAGAGAGTAACATAGCTACTATTTGTAACTTACAATTGAGTATGTAGAAACAATTTATGAGTAGATCTCATAATGCTAAGAGTACCACTAAATCAGTCTAGTAGGAATAGTAGATAGGTTGTTTAGATGTAAAGACACGTGCAATCTTACAGTACGTGTGAGGTAGAGAGGAGGTCAGGCCGCGGTCTGACTAGCAGCGGGAAACTATATTTATCAAACATTCTTTGAAAGTTCCCATTTTTTCAAGTCAAACAGACTTACAAGTCTATTATAGTTAACATATTTTTCTTCTAATAATCTTTAGTTGAAACAGACAGCGGCCTAAATAGCTTAAGTGTTAATTTCAAATATGTTCGCACGTATATAAAACTAAATTACGAAGCAAATTTGAACTGAAACCTATGAATGCGAACATATTTGTAATACTCGTATCGGTGGCGGGACAATATCGGGGATTTTATGCTTAATTTAGATAAACATTTAATTGTGATAACAATGCATTGTAAAATCGCAGATTACAGATTGCTCAATCACTGACTCTCTTACGTCACGATGAAGTAGTTTAAAAGGGGGTGGAGTAGAATATATAGCGCTCACAAAACTTGCACAGAAGTTTACAACATGTGGGAAGGGGAATACTTTGACCATTGATATAGAAAATGCAGTCGCATTTCATATCACACAGAATCTATGCCTTTACGAAAATTATTCAGCATCTAAGATGGTCACAAATTAATGTTTCTATCAAGTCGATGCCTTTCTTCTTAGATGCGTAAAAGATATATTATCTCATTTGGAAAGTGTATCGATATTCGATTAGAGTTGACGTGTGGCTGAATTGAATTATGTTCTAACTGGCTACGTACCTAATGGATCAAAGTTGTTAGATAAGTCATTACTTGATTAGTCTTACACGTGTGTGCTTATCAATAATGAAAGTAGACTTGAGTACACAAACATTGGAAAATAGGTAATCTAACATTTATTGTGTTTGATGAAAATTGAGGGATTTTTGAACATGTATCAATTTGTGAGCAATAAGGTAACGCAGGAGGACGTTTCGGGCCTGTAATGACACTTCGGGCTACGGAGAACGTATCAATTAAACACGAGGAGGTGACTCGCTCGAGTCGCTAGAACAGTCGAGTAGTCTCGTCTAACGACCAGCCCTGGAATGAGGGTCGAGTGCGATTCCATCGGTAATCGCCTAATCTCATCGCTATTCGATTGTGGGAGAACAATTTACTAAAATGAGCCGTTTTCTATCAAATTGAATTAATCGATTCGAATTTTATTGTTACTTTCCGACGTACAATTTAATAGGCCAACTTTGTTCTATAGGCCTTATACTCTTAAATACAGACTTAATATGGTCTAAGTGATGGACGTAGGATTGGGAGGTAGGACTTTGTCAAATTTAGGGTAAATATTATTATAATTTAAGTTTATCAAAAATAAGAAACATTAGAAAATAGGTACAGGTACAAGTTTTGACATGTTTTGTTCTGTAATAGTTAGAGGGCTGAAACAAACATTACAGAGAGCTGTGAAGGTCGGGTGAATGGGGTTAGAGGTAGCTCTCAGAGAAGTCAAGGTCAGAGACGGAAGCGCGCGAGGAGCGCGTGTAGTTTGTGGAGGTGCCATAGTCGGAGGTGGCGGTGGCAAGGTCGGCCATCACGCCGCCGCCGCCCGTACCTTGCGTCACGCCCGCCGCCGCCGCCTCCCGCTCCGCCAGCTTCTGTTTCAGCACCCGAATCCGCTCCTCCTTCTGCAACAACATTTCTCTTTAACCACTAATCTTTTGGAACGTTGATCCACGCGAGACATCTTCTATTTGGCAGGTTGTAAGTAAGTATGTTTGCAGTGTATTAGCAATTTAGCGGATTCCCGACACTTTAATCGCGTTTTGTGCGTTCCATTTTATGAAAAGTTGGGCCCTTTATCCACCAAAACCACACAATTTTGAAAGATTGATAACCTTTTTTCTCTAATGGGGAGTGAGACTGCTTATTGAAATTATACCTATATACAATCCCGTGGACAGTTTGCAATCTTACGAAGATATCAACAACTTTTAATATAATTTCTGTGAAACTTATGCAAGAGTTATTATTTCGCAGCACGATAAACAATTGTACTGAAATGGTTTCAGTTTATTGGTGCGAAATAAATGTAAAGCGACTCCAAGTTTGTATTTTGTAAGAGCAGATGCTGTGCATCTTTCAATTTGCACTGAATCCTCGTATTTGAACAATATATTTTATTATTATGAAATAAGATGTCTGTACCTTATTGTGAAAATTATTGTAGATGCATTTAATATTTATTAGGATTCCTTCAAAAACACTAATAATCTGAAGGTCGTAGTGGCCTGGAGATTAGGTAAGGTGCGGTTTCGAAACCTGGCAAGTACCTACCAACGTTACTTCTGCAGAGTTTGTAAAAAAATTGTGAGGAAACCTTGACTTATAATTTTTAATATTATAAGTTTGACATCACCAATCATCCTTGAGCAAGCACGGTGATAAATCGAAAACTTCTACGTGTGAGAAGAGGCCTTTGTTCAGCAGTTGGCACTTATAGGCTGATGGTGTAATGTGAAGTAGTAGTAGTATTTCATTTTTTTTTATTAGTTATTTCTTACAGTTATAATTGTGTCAGAGAGAGTGTCTATTACGTACGGGTCTTAGATCTAGAAACTGTTATTTCAATAGTCTGTCTTGTGAAACCAACTTTGATTCTCGTGGGCGCTCTCAGAACACCTAGACAAAACACAGCCAATAAACGGAGTGCAAAATTAACGTAGCAAATTTCTAGATTAAATTTTAAAGGTCAACGTACGATAAATATTCGCTGAGCATTACAGTTTATTGTCTTTGTCTCCTCTGAATTGGAAACTAGATGAATCATTAATTATCTTCTGTTTACTGAGATAGCTAGCGTTTATCGATAATGTTCTCTAAGATTAGAGCTATCGGATAGCGCGGTAACAGAATTCTAATTAAAATTGTAAATAGCTGGGAATTATTATTAAACTAAGCAATTTTTTTCAATTAAATTATAAAATAAGTGTTTGTAATTTCTGTATTGAGGTCGATTGCATTGTTGAACCTCAATGAAAAGTTCTGATCACAGATTATTAAGTAGATATAAACAAGTCAGATTGTGATATTCTTTTTAAAAACAAATGAAGGCGAATAGTTATGGGCCTGCGGTCGGCGAGTAAGGGCAGCTCGCCGCCCGACCAGAACCAGGCCCGAGCGTACGGCGCGTAGCGTTCCGCGCGCGCCTCAAAGAGCCATTCGACCACCACAGACGGGGCCCTAAAGGGCTGATGTTCAGCCGGGGTTGCGGGGTAAGCGCAATGAGGTACCGCGACCTCGGCACAGAGCAGGAGAAGGAACAGGGGGGTTTTTAGTCAGTAAGAGTCTGACACTCCCTCCTGCCCGGCCCTGGGCGGGAGAAGTCATTTGATGATTTTCCCCTCACAAAAAAAAAAAAAAAAAGGCGAATAGTTATAGACCTCCTTGGTTATTCATTTCCATATAATGCAGGTTTCTATTATTAATTTTATTTAATCTTGTATTTTAGCATTGTCCATTTTTGGTTTTTAAATTCAGAACTGTCCACCATTAGTCTACCACGTAACTACCTCGGTAGTAAATGCTATGGTAGTAAAATGTAAGTATCTACGTACATAAGAAGGTATAATTACTTCACGAATATCAACACCGAATTTATTTTAAATTAAATTTTGAACTACATCTATGAATAATAATTTAATGTAAGTCCCTATATAGTAACGTTCGAAATATTCATATTAGTTGCAGTTCAACGAAGCAAGTTTCCGTTGAAACATTCAACATTTAATGTTCTTTGTATAAATGAGTAAATGTAAATCGTATAGTAACTATCATGACATATACAACATTTATTGAATATAACGAGTTACTTACTGAGAAAAGCTCGACTAGTTTCTGGTCACAATGGGACTCTTATTAATGAGTAACACGCGCGTCGCAGTGACGCGCCGTCGACTTAGTTGACTCACGAGAGTAGTAAGGTAGGTATTTGAATAAAAAAAAACAGTACTTTTGTGGTTGTCCAAAGGAACCGAAACCTCGGCAATATTGACTTTCCTAGTTATAGGTACCTAGATATTTACACATAACTGACATACGGTGTATGAAAACACCGTGAGGAAACCTAGGCTGATAATTTCGAATTATAAGATTGAAATCGCCAATCCAATCGCCAGTAAGCATGGCGATTAATGCTAAAATCTTCTCAGTGAGTGAAGAAGCCTTTATTAAAAAAGCGTGACTACTGGCCTTATGTGACGTGTTGGTGTTATTGACGAATAGTAACTTCATATTTGTAGCTGTGGAAAATTGTAGTATTCATACTTATTTGCAATTCCCCGAAACAAAATTACATTGCAACAACATCTACTTAATATTATTTGTACAATTTGTACAAACTGAAGTAAATCTCGTATAATTCAGAACTGTTGGAGGTGTAAAGACGTCCAATGCAAATAGTTTCTAAGTAGTGTAGTAGCTACTGTAGTTTGTATTGCAAATGTGGTCAGGCGGGAGGGAATGTCAGACTCTTACTGACTAAAAACCCCCCCGACCCTTCTCCTGCTCTGGGCTGAGGCCGCGGTCCCTCATTGCGCTTACCCCGCAATCCCGGCTGAACATCAGCACTATAAGGTCCCGTCTGTGGTGAAACGAAAGCTACGCGCCGTACGCCCAGGTCTGGATCTGTTCTTGCGGCGAGCTTCCCTTACTCGCCCGTCCGGAGATCGTTTCTCGATTGCAAATGTGGCGCTCTTAATACTAGGTGCTAAGGATATATACTAGGTGCTATAAATTATGTGCTCGTTCCAAAGTGTAGGTTCTAATGGAGAAGAATGAGCAAGAAACTCTATGATTCCATCCAGTTTCACATACAGATTCATGAGAAGAAGCCTTGCCTCTTCTTGCAGGCTGATAGCTGTGATCTCGCAAGAAGTCATATTATATTATTAGAGGACAAATGGAATTAATGAACGAACCTAGAACATTGATGAATGGATGACAAATTAACAAACATTTTGCTCTTGAATTCAATTAATGTTACTATGTTTGCATTTCAAGCCGCACAATTAGATTTATTTGATAGTAATATAGGCTAATTACTTTCCAATTGCATTATTTGTTTAATTCAAATAACGTTAAAGATAAATTTGTACTGTAAATATCAATTTAATTTAGTTGGAGATCAATTACGATAGCTAAATAGGTGTGTAAATGGATCTAAACTGTAATTATATTTTATTTAGCTTTTAAATTGATAGTGTTACAAAAAACGGTTTATTAATTTCGTTTAAAATATTTTAGGGAGGATAGTGAAAACTATAATACCAGTAATAATAAAAAAAACTTCACGATGACCATAGAGGTGACTATTTGAACAAAACATATTTGCACACTGTCCAATATTTGGATGTACTCGCATTCTTTCCACAATAAAAGAAGATTCATCATGAACATCTTCCAAAGGGAAAAAACGGAAAAACTATTGTCGATTTCGGAACAAAAATGTGGGATTGTTTCGTTCACACCGAGGTAGTGCCAATCAGTTATGTTTTCCTTTGGTACCTTCATGAATACGCATCGGGGTTTTGTTTCGTTCCAAACGTGTCGGGTAATACAGGCCGCTCAACTTTACGCAGACAGCAAAAAAATATTGCGGGCTTAAGCCTCCCCGACAACTATGAGAATCATTGTACAGCGAAAGGGTACTTTATTTAACGAACTATGTATCCTGGCTTCAGACGAGATGAATTAAACATGGCACCTAAAGGTGCTAAAGATAAAGTGGACTTTATATTTTTTGGAGGAAGTGTCGAGATTAAGCCTTTTCCTTAGACAGGAATCTCTCGTTTTGAATAATGAGTTTGTTAAAGTAATCCATTATGGATGGGGATGGCTTTAAACAATGTTAGAGTACTTTGTTCATCGTTTAATTGAAAGAAGTCATACAGTTAGTTTTCGCAGGGAATTTTTACTTTAAAATATCAGTCATTAAAGGTTTGTATTCTTAAAAAAATTTTTTTTTGGAAAAGTTATTATCGTGATACTTGCTAAACTGGCTGACTGCTACCAGTTGGCTGCGTGACGTCACCGCGACGCGCTCGCTGCTCATGAATAAGAGTCCCGTTGTGGCTTGAAACTAGTTGAGCTTTTCTCGGTTGATTTTTACGACAAAGTCGTTGCCATAAATTGGACCTGGACTTTATAACTTCTATTATTATAAGTTTGAAATCAAAAATTGGCCTTGAAAAAGCGCGGTGACAAATGTTCAAGCTTTTTCCGTGTGAGAAGAGGTTTTTGCTCAGCAGTGGGCACTTATAGGCTGATGATGATGATGATAAAAATGATGATGATGATGCATGTAGAAGGACGTTCTCCTCTCAAAAAGCGAAAGCATGACATTATGACATGTTTTTGTCTTAAGTGTGGGAGAGCAATGCTTCGGCAATAATTGGTTGGCTCGACCGGAGTTATACCACGGCCTCACAGAATACCGGCGTGAAACAAACACAGCGTTGTGTTTCACCGTGTGAGTGAGGTTACCGAAGGCCCAATCCTACCCCTCCCCTAACCCCTGAATCTCCAAAACCCTTATCCCCAAAAAGTCGACAACGCACACGTAACTCCTCTGTCACGGGTGCCCATGAGCGGCACTGATTGCTTACCATCAAGTAATCCGTCTGCTCGT